TCGATGTGTCTATGATATAATTCTCGAAATGAGCATCGAGAGAATATAGAAAATTTATGAATTCGACTAGCGTAGAATCGTCATAATTTTTTTAAAGTTAGCTTGTTATCGAAATTCTTAAAATATCAATTCGAAAATACATACTTTGATTGGTCATTTCACTCACCGTTGACGACGTGAAATACAAGGCTATGAGTACTTCAAAATGATATTAAGAATGTAATATTTCGACCTCGTTTGATATCCCGTTATGAGCCCGAAAAGTACGACAAAAACATAAGTAATTTAGTGAATTTTCTAATAATTTAACACGTTGATATTAGTTACTTCAGTCGGTGGGAAAATTAGTATTGTGTGTAAAAGACATTTTTTATTTATGTGTATTAATACATATAGTCACTTTTCTCTCTCCCATGTTCCCTCCAAAAAGTTACTTTAACACGTTGGGTCATTCACCCTGTTTGGCAAGAATAATTCTAAGTTAAATATGATTATAACATATTAAGTTCATCTTCAAACCTGAAAGTCAGCTACACTCTACAGTTCCCCTGCTTGTTTCTCCTAAAAATGTACAAATTCAAATTACAAGAATTGTGTCACAACAGATGTTGGAGTTTGCCCATTTATACAACTGCAAGTGATGACTAAGATAATATCCCTAGATTCAAATGTTCAGTGACCGTGAATGGAAAGCCTTTCGAGACTCCAGTTAAGTGCAAAACGGTGAAAGATTCTCAAAATTTGACAGCTCATATAGCTCACGACCACTTCATCGTCCAGCCATCTCTCCAACAGCCCTACTACCCTAACTCTACCGCTTACCCTGGTGCCCGTGTTGAAGCTGCTCCGCCTGTAGCTGTAGCTCTAGCTCCATTTCTCCACATTTCATTTCCTGAACTTCCGCCAAATTTTGAACCTCCACCATTTTCCCTTCCACCCGCTAGTAAGTTTTATCTATTTAACTTAAAGTTTTATCTACATGCGAAGTATGTTGTACTCGAATTTTGAGTAGAAACATTAATTTGCTTGACTTGCATCGTTATAAATAATTCAAACAATGAGTGCTAAGGGGGCCTGCAACAGTAAAAAAAAAACCAGTTAATAGGACAACAAAACAAAATTTTTAAAGAAATAAATTATTATGTAAACGAATTGGTACAATTACCTTCTCCAGGAGCAGACTTCTTTCCCTGTTTCATCACCTTCCCCTTCTTAGCAACATCTTGCTTTAGTGGTTTTTGGGGTTTCTTTTGAGTGCTGCGATTCTGAACTTCTGTAGGAGACTTTGCGCTTGTCACATTCTTGTGGACTGATATTCTGCTCCTCTTTACAGAGTTATTCATTTGAGACGTTTCCTCATCACTTGTCATCATCTATGAACCTTCTTTCCCGACAAATAAAAGGAAATAGAAAAGTAAAAAGGGTTTGTTTAACTGTTTAATTCAAGTGCTGTGAAGTGGGCTTGCTTTTGATAATTCTCACGCTGAATTCTGAAGCAAATTGCTGAATTGTGTGCTCCGCCCCAAAAAACATAATGAAAAAGCATAAACTAGTTATTAGAGCTACCCTCAACACACTCATAATATTAATTTGGCGTGAGAATTATCAAAAGCAAGCCCACTTCATTAGCTAAAATTCGAGTGCAACATGCTTCGCATGTAGATAAAACTTTAAGCTAAATAGATAAAACTTACTAGCGGATGGAAGGGGGAGTGGCGGAGGTTCAAAATCTGGTGGAAGTTCAGGAAATGAAATGTGAAAAAATGGAGCTACAGCTACAGGCGGAACAGCTTCAACACCGGCACCAGGGTAAGCGGTAGAGTTAGGGTAGTAGGGCTATTGGAGAGATGGTTGGGCAATGAAGTGGTCATGAGTTATATGGGCTGCCAAATTTTGAGAATCTATCAACGTTTTGCACTTAACCGGAATCTAGAAAGGCTCCCCATCCACGGTCACTGAACATTTGAATCTAGGGATATTATCTTGGCCATCACTTGCAGTTGTATAAATGGGCAAACTCCAACCCCACTTGTGGCACAATTCTTGTAGTTTGGATTTGTACATTTTCAGGAGAAACAAGTAGGGAAACTGTAGAGTGTAGCTGACTTTCAGATTTGGAGATGAACTTAATATGTTATAGCCATATTCAACTTAGAATTACTCTTGCCAAACAGGGTGAACGACCCAACGTGTGAAATCAGCAGCCATCTGTCTATAAAATGGATCTTCTGGTATTCTTAGCATATGCTCTCTATCTGTTCCATAAATGCGGGCATCATCTCGCAATCGTAGACGGCCAGCACCCAGTGATGGCAATGTATTCTGGAAAATCAACAACTTACCACCAAGTTGCCCCTGGAGGTAGGAAGCATATACAAGTTAAGAGCTAAGTTAATATATAGAAAACAACTTACTAAAAGACCAAGGGCAATCACTCAACAGGAAAGCCAAAAGCATCGAATATCAAAATCAAAACACGTGCCATAGTGAAATACTGGTCAAATAAACTGAAGTTAAAATTGATGGACAGAAAATAATCAACATACCATAACCATGAATGCAGCTTTAAGAGCTGGACCAAATGCAGATTCCACATTCATGTTATCCTGGAACATGGAGGGAAAGCTATCAAGGAATGCATCCACCACATTCCTAGATTCTGACAAGTTGACGAGAAGATCGTCTGGCAATGGAACAAATATGTCATCCAAATCTGAGATGACCATCATCTGAGGCTGCATTAAAGATGACTGGTAAAAGGAAATGGCATAAGTTATTCATTGAAATGGAGTGAAAGGGATAATTTAAGTATGCCGCAAATTAACTCCTAGATGAGGACCCTTGCCTTCATACTATAGAAATGTATTGTGCTGTCATAAGTTATGAACCCAATCTGCGTACGGGGAAAACCAGGCAATTTGTCCAAACAAAACTTAATAGTCTGTGCTACTACCTGCAAAATTATATTTGTGGTTAAGCAATAATTAAGCTATACTGAAAACATAATGCATAAATGGTTTTTTTCACGTGGTAATCAACTAAAGATAATTTATTTATCCACGGAAATACCAAGCTTAAAAAAAAACACATGCGCCTCGATGTGTCTATGTCATCAACTCTAGTCATGCAGAAGAGACTGAACAAGCAACATTAAAGAAAAATGCAATAAAAAACTAGAAAACAACAGTAATATTTTAGAAACATTAACAAAGACTGGTTATCATCAAGGATAACTTATCCATCAATTCAGTTTAAAGCATGCCTATGCAACATAAACAAAGATGCAGCAGTATGCCCCTCATGGAAAAATCAGAGAAAATTAAATAATGGAAAATATAAGAAAAAGAAATTATAAAACCTTAACATAGAGATGTAGAAAAATATATTTTTACGAAAAACTACATATACATTCCAGACAATTAGGAGTTGCAGACAAACTGTGTCATCAATCAATTCGTGCATGAGAATTACAAAATGCAATTTCTTGCCTTTACACCATCTACTTATGTTGGGGAGTTTTTACCTCAAGCATTCCACTTTTAACTGCAGATATTGATACATCAATGAGGAAAAAGTACAGTGGTGGCATTGGAGGCCGAACCATGTATTCAGCTGGAGCAACATACTCAACGCTACCCTTGGTAAGCTCAGGTCGTTCATCCAAATCAACTCTTCTGCCACTGGCATCCAAATGTGCGAAATAATTGCCAGGAACTGGATATGAAATTTATAATAGATCAGTTAATGTATCTTCAGAATTATACAAATGAATAAATTCAAATAATCAACTAATTTAACTATAATTAAAAAAAATAAAAAAATAACCAGACAGGTAGAAGCCAGTTAACACTTTAGAGATCCTCACTTCCATTTCTATTAGCAGTTTAACACAATGACTCATTTGGTACTAGGCCAGTTCATTGAGGCTCACAAAAAATGTCAGCAAATGAATAGTTTGATCTTGGTCGTAACAATGCAATGTAGCTATAAACTTATTTAGAATCTTTCCCTTACCAAAGGAAGTTGGCATGCTAGCTATATAAGTCTCGATGCGTCTGTGTTTGCTTTTGTGTGAGTGTGTGAATAAGAGAGAGAGAGAGAGAGAGTCAAATATATAGTTTACCATGCTTTTCAGTGACTACCCTACACCATCTACGTAGGTCCATGACCAGATATCAAGAATTACAATCTCCAATTGATTAAGAAGGCTATAAATGATTGTTCAAGGAGAGATGACAGAAATTATAAAGGCCAAAAAGACAGGAACAAGAAGCCAAGTAGAGTTCCATTTAAAATGACCAAGACCCATGCATGGAAAAGAGTGCCAATCTTTGAGTAGCAAAAAATTGAGTCAATAAGCTATTTCCTTTACATTCTGTGGTGAGTGAAGAATTTTGTGGCTGCCACACAAATTAACTGAATAAAGCGTAAAGGTATAAAGAGATTTGTTAAAAGAGTAAGAACTGCGCCAGCCAAAAGATTCATGACATGACTCTACATTAACAACAAAAGCAAAATGGCAAAGGTTCCCACACACTTATGATATATTCTAAAAATCTCAAAGGGAAAGAAAAGTTACCATCGTTAAGCAATGGACATATGTTGCACCTCCACTTTCTTCCGCTATCAGTAAATGAGACGTACGGATTTACGTAAGTGCGGCACCTTCTACAACGAA